GAGATTATCACTCACATCATCAAATATTTGTATTTCTCTCATAATTTTGAAGTTAAGAAATTTTGACGAGAAATTTGTGTGTACAAATTTCTGGCATGCCCAGTGGGACAATCTTTGCCTCTCATCTTTTTTCTTCAAACAAATCTCCAAATATCTCCAAGTTAAAATAGCTCATAAGAAGAATCTTGTTAATAAACCTGCTAGAGCAAATCTTGCAGTTTTTCCTACTTCGTCATCAAGCACAGATGTTCCAACACACCCATATGCTACTCGGGGAAAGACAGAAGCTCTTACTAAATTGTATGAGCAAACTTTCTTAGTCCTCAACCAAAATACTTTGTATGATGCTTCTTCCCCAAGTTTTGAAGAAGTCTCTTCTATGCAGCTTGCTTCCTCCAAAGGATCAAGTACCAATCAACTCAAGGAACATGATGGCTACTCAAGCAGGAGCTTTGTTTCATCATCCCCTCACCAAAGTTCTTCGTCAAAAGTAGACTCTAGAATAATGGTTGTCATGACAATTGGAACAGCATTTCTAGAAGAACAAGTTACGCTTCTTGCAAAGGCTGTGGAATCTCTGACAACAAGCATCAGAGAAAATGATGGTGAAAATTAGTAGCCTTATTAAAAAGGCGCCAATGGATCTTGGTCAAAATCAACACCAAGATAATGAAGAGAATTCCACTACAGAAGTGGAAAATAATCTCCAACAAAAATCAAATGAAGCAGTCACCACAAATCAATTAAAGGAACTTATCAAAGAAGCCATCAAGGAATAGGTGGAAAGTGTCACTCAACCTTCATGCACATATGCAAAGCCATACTCTCAAAGGACTGATCACATGAGGATGTCGCCAAACGATCAACCACCAAAGTTCCAATAGTTTGATGGTAAAGGAAATCCTCATCAGCATGTTGCACACTTCTTAGAAACTTGTAATAATGTTGAAACTTATAATGATCTTAAGGTGAAGCAGTTTGTTCACTCTTTAAAGGGCAATGCTTTTGATTGGTACACAAACTTAGAGCTTGGGATAATTGATAATTGGGATCAATTAGAACGTGACTTCCTTAATCGTTTCTATAGCACTTGACGTGTGGTTAGCATGATTGAACTCACAAGTTTGCGCCAATGGAAAGATGATCTTGTGATTGATTATATCCATAGGTGGAGAAATATCAGTCTCAATTGCAAAGAGCGATTGTCTGAATCCTTAACTCTTGACATGTGCATCCAGGGGATGAATTGGGGATTACGTTATATTCTT